GCTGACTCGGTCAACACAGTGGGCGGAAAGATAAGAAGAGCCACCCGTTCCATAGGAGGGCATAATATTTTTATTTAAAAAAAAAATGAATTGAATAATAAATAAAAAATTAGTGAATATATGTGATTATTTAATTCTACTTTTGAATTCAAACTTTTATACGACTAAATATTTTCAATTATAAACTATTAGTTTATATATTTATAAATTTATGAAATTAGAAATGCTTATAATAAATATCCATAAAGATTCTTTATGTTGATGTAATGTCCAAATTAATTTAATTGTAAATTAAATTAATTATAAATATAATTTTTTAATTTTTTAATTTTAATTTAGTGTAAAAATAAAGAAATGTGATGGATGATTAATTAAAAATACTTTTTTTTAAAAAAAGGTAGAAATTTGGGTTATAAAGGTATTTTTTAAAGAAAAATAAAAAACTGGAAGTAAAAATGCAATTTAGAAAAGTTTTGCCACGTATGATACCCGGTCAGCAGCCCCGATGAAGCAGGACGCGCCGCGTGCCAATGGACGCTGACACAGTGTCACGCGGGCGATCCGTATGTCCGCGATCGAATGACCCAGATCTGTTCCCGCGCGCACGGACGACCTATATGCATTCCCTCCCAAACGCGATCGGATGGCCAGATTTAAACACGATCGATGGTCCAGATTAGATCACGATGAACGGTTCAGATTTACTCCCTATTTAATCACGATCGTACGGTCCATATCAAACGTGATGGACGGTTCAGATCAAACGCGATAGTCGAAAACTGCAGGCAAAGTCCGGCAGCGCCGCCATGGGGAATTTCACAAAACGCCTCTGATGAGACCCTTCCCGATTCCTGTTCTGTATAATTTTTCCACCGTTGTGATTACCATTTCCTTCTTTATAGGTTGACCAGAGTCAAACACCCAATCGTAACATGAATCGGAGGAGTCACCGCACCGGAGAGCCCTGCTGTCGGTGAGTTTCGATTTTTTGTATTTTTTCGGCTAACCGAGATCCTTTAACGTGTTTTCTAACAGGGATTGATGTAAAATCGACCGAAAATAGCCAACCCGAGGTGAACTGCTGCCGTGCCAAAATTTTGGAATTGACCATAGTGGGCCCTGACACTGTTTTTGGATTTTTTTTTTTGGAGATATTTATAGGTATTTGTAGCACGTTTTAATCTTCGAAGAAAAATTCAAGAGACCTAGGGACCGCTAGTTGGCGCAGGCAATAGCTTAGCCTTTCGAGCATTAAATTGAGTAAGAATTCATTACCCTATTCTCTGTTATAGAATTGAAGTCTAAATAAATAATAATAAAGTATTTTGTGTAATTTAAAAAATATTCATAATTAATTACGGATTACTAATGAAGCCAGAACAAAAAATTATCTATTATTGTTCTGTTAGTTGTTTTTACAGTTTAAATGCATGATAGTACTTTATTGATTGATTTTATAGTTTTGAATACATGCATTATTTGATTTATGTGATTATGATTGAATTAGAAAAATGAAAACTAAAGAAAAATGGAAAATTATGTGATTAAGTAAATAGATGAAACAACAGCCTTACTGGATATCCTGGAGATGGTGGACGGATCGGTTACAATAATGAACCCTACGTGACGTTATCTCTACCAGACAGAGTATCGAGACTTGG